GGTTTATCACTGGCAGCTAATCTTTTAAAGAACTGGGGCTTAACTCCTTTTGTTAACTAATTAAAAAAGAAGGAACTTCAAGCTGTAATTAGACCTATTAAAACATGTATTACTCACTCAATGGTCTATACAGCCAGGATAAATGTATAATTAGGAGGTTTCACCAAACATGATTAAAGTCAGTCATGTGTCCTAGGCCATCAAATATTTATGTGTGTGTGAGATTGAGAGTAAAGTCAGTGTGAGATACAAACCATATCATACATTCTAGAGAAAATACATGAACTGCCTTGGACTTGATGTTCTTGGAGGTCTTTTCCAAGCTAAATGATTCTGTGATTCTGTATTTTAAATATTTAACTTCAATCATGAAAGCTTTTTTTCAGATGTGAATTCTGGCAGGATTGTGTCACACCCAAAACTTCTCGTGTGTGGTGACAGTGATGGGACCAGGTCCTTCTGAGCCCGTGATCTGTCACTGCTGTTCCCTGCTGATAATGTAAGAAATTTAGAAGTCAGTGAGTGGAGTATTCCTGTTCTTGATCAGCACATTCCCCAGGGCATAAGGATTTGTATCCCTTCCAAAACTCATGTCTGTTTTGGGGGATTGGGTTTCTTTTTTGTTTGGGTTGTTGGTCTTCAAATGACAAAGGAGTAAATTCTTCAGCTTTATGGTTAGAGGGTATTTTTCCTTCTACATACTTAGGAGATGGGAAGAAAAGCAGGTCCACTGACCTTTTATGCCTCTCATTCATAGGTGTGAGTGCTTTCTCCCTGCACTGGTTTCAGGTGATGTCATTCCTTGAAGGGAAATTCCCAGGAAGGCTGTGGCAGTTCTGGGTCTCTGCAGCCTCTGTTCTGTCCATGTATGTGGATGGTTTATTGTATGTTGGAATCTTCCCTGGCTGGTGTCTCACCAGCCCTTTTGTGGCACAGACAAGCTGGAGAGAGGGACTGGGAGCACTTTTGCATCCTGAGTTGCCACCAGTCACATTGTATGGCTCAGGTGTCCCTGTAATAACCCCTTCCCAGGGGTCCACATCCAGGCTGGTGCCTCGGAGCAGGGAGGGGGATTGATGCCATAAAGTCATCCCAAAAATCCCATTGCATCTCTCCAAACCAGGAGATGCTGACAGCTCTCGTGGAGGTGCAGATGTCTCTGACATGACTGCTAACCAAATTAAAGACATAAATAAATTGTTTGCTGTCATAGCTCTTTGTTTCAAAAAAACTTCGGTTTCAAGCACTTCATGTGAAGTGTTGAGGTTGCTGGGCTTAACCTGCAAGGAAGAAATTAGCTCTGGTCCTGAAAGCTGACTCAGATATTTCCAGTTTTCCTGCCAGAGACCTATTTGCACTGATAAACAAATTACAGGAGAGTTCTCAAGTCATATAGACAGGAACAAGCTTCTTCAATATATATCAATTTCTGCTCAGGGAACAGTGAAATGCAGTTAAAGGCTGAGCTGCCTGTTCTGCTTTTCAGCACAGAGATACTGCAGAGAGAATTGGGCTGGTGTCAGCCCTTTTGGTGTCACTAAACTGCTGAGACCCCTGGGGTCAGACAGGGAGGGACGAGCAGTTGGGGGAAAATCCAGCGCCGAGGAAATGGTGGAGGTGTCCTGGCACGGCTGTGGAGGAGAACGGAGCTTCCTCTGCGTGTGTCACATCTGCCTTTGCCATTTGTTTGTGCTGGTTGTCATGTCCACATCCACTTGGAGAGGAAGGGGGATGTTCCTATGGATGTATGTGCATAGATGCACACAAAAATAGCAGTTGTCTGTCTTGCACACGTGGTGGTTTCAGGGCCAGTTTCTAAACGGTTTGTGGTGTTCCCGTGGTCCAAGGGAGCAGCACCATAAGAATTTTGTTGTTTGTGTTTTTTTTTATTCCTATATGAAAAGCAAAAAGACAAGGAAAGGACTAGTTTTTGTCCCAGGGGGCTCCCTAGCTCTGCCTCTTCAGAGACAACTAAAATATAAGTTTTGAGTGCCTGACTAGGGATGGAAGATGGGGGGTCTCATCTCACTGTAACAAATTACTGCTGACTTTTATTGTATGGATTCCAGCAGGGTGATTGTTAGGCAAAGATCCTGAACAACTGGATAAGAAGAGGTATTAGCTCTTTAATCCTAGATCTAGAGCTCCAAAACCAGGCAGGAGAATTCCCTAAATTGTTTCAGGTTTTTGTATGTTTTCCCTAGTTGTCACACCTGAATGGCTGCACGGGCCATAGCCCTGAATATCTGACCTCAGCAGGGCAATACCACTGAGGTGTTTATGTGGACTGTGTTTTTGAAGACTGCTTTTATTCCCAACTGCAGTCGGAATCTCATGACTTAAATTTGGATACCGCTGCTGCAGAGAACATAGTTTAAATATTAAACAGATATGTGGAGTGTGTCAGCATGGGATAAGCCAGGGAGGAGGAGGATTTGAGGAGGAACTGGGAGAGAAGAGTGAATGTCTTACTTGTTGCAGATTATTTCATTGTGTTGGGCATCTGATTCTGTGGTGTTGATGAAACCGAGTCACTCTTTTACCACAAAAGGAATCCTTTGTACAGTTTTCCTGCTTTACACAAGGATTGTAAGAGGAGCCTTTTAACAACGTTGTTTGGAGGAAATTCCTGTCCAGTGCATTCCCTGGGAGTGATGCTGGCTGGTGAGCACAAAATGGTGTCATTTTTCTGTAGGTATTTCAAATTTGAGGAACATCCAGTGCATTTCCAAACCTGTCATTCTGCAGGTGTAAGGAGCACTGTCCATACTCATCCCAGGCCTGGCAGGTGACTGTCACCCTCCCTGTGATGCACATCTGAACCTCTTCAGAAACCACAGTCAGCCTCCAGTGCCCTGCTTTCTAATTCTGCATGACTAAGCCTTTCAGCATGCAATAAGTGCTGTTGCTCATCCCAAATGCATTGGTTACCTGTGCACCAATCACTGTCAGCACATTTCTGCACTGGGGTGGCTGAGTGTTGGGGAACTGGCATAAGTTAAATTAATCTGAGTCACAGTATTGCCCTTTCTGTTCCACCCACGTGTGCGTCAGGTGTGGGAGACGTGTGAGCAGCACTGCACACGCCCTGCCAGCAAACAAGGAACTTGTGTTCCCTCAGAAAATGGGGACTGGGGCACAATTCACACCAAAATATGAGGAAGTGAAGAGTGCACACAAGTATTTGTTTTGTGTGACTGTAGGAATCCTGAAAGAATTCTTTTCAGCCAGGGGATTACAGTGAGGAGAACAATGCACACCCCTCAGTGGCAGATTTGTGGCTGCTGCTGGATGTATTTATGACCCAGGCACGTGGCTTGGTGTCTGCATGGCACTGTCCATGTCTGTGAGGGAGGGCTGGACTCTGGCTTGGCTTTGCTGTAGGGCACAAAGTCAGACACTTCCCTGCACTCAGCTTTTTCCCATCTGAAGAAGGACAATCAGTAATTGCTCGTTATTCTCAAAGCACTTCCATGTTTAAGGACGTATCATAAGCACAGAATCATGGAATGGTTTGGGTGGGAAGGGATCATAAAGACCATCTCATTCCATCCCCTGCCATGGGCAGGGACACCTTCCAGTAGCCCAGGTTGCTCCAAGCCCCATCTAACCTGGCCTTGGACACTTCCAGGGATGGGGCAGCCACAGCTTCTCTGCCCAACCTGGGCCTGGGCCTCCCCACCCTCAGAGGGAAGAATTTCTTCCTAATATCTAATCCAAACCTCCCCTCTCTCAGTTTAAATCCCTGCTGTTCTTCTCACAGATGATCTGTAGAATAACAACAGTAAGCTGAGGATTTGTAGAGGTTACATTTGTAGGAACAGATTGCCCTGTGCTTACAACTTTGTGCACTGACTGTTTAATTTCTGCCCCTGCAATTACTCCTGGGTGCAGCTCAAGCTGCTTGGATAGGCTGAGAACTTGCTTGTGCTCATGTATCAGGTGTTCAGGCATCAAAGCATTGTGCCTTATTCCTGCACAGGGCAGCACTCAGAAAACTGCAGGTGCAGTGAAAGGTCAGGTTGAAAATCAGGTCTTTGCAGTTCACAAAAGTGTTGCTGAAATAGGGAAACAGGCCATGAAAAAAAAAAAAATCTGTTAGATGAACAATTCCTTTTGGTCCATTTTAGGCTGAGTTGTGCTGAATGTGAAGTATATCCTCGTCCTGTGGGATTGAGCTTTCCTCAGAAGGGCCTGGAATTCCCTGGGCAGCTCAATCCCTCCTTTGCCTTGTGTGGCTCTGAGTCGTTCACCTGCAGGTCCTGCTTATGGAGCACAGGGATGTTCCTGGGGCTCCCAGTGAAGCTCAGGTCTCCTCTTTGTGCAGCTGGGATTGGGACTGAGGCTTTTTAGGACTGTTCAGTGCCTCTTACTCTGCCTCCCTGCTGTGAGGGGAGGTGTCTGCTGCTGTTCCAGGCAAGTGGAGTGAGATGGGTCCTTAACCTTTGAAAGATTCCCTTATTCCGTGGCATTTAATGAAGGAAAAAATTTGTTTGGGGGACTGGGGGTTCAACTCTTTCCCAGCTTTGGGCTTTCACAGTCAGAGCTTGTCCCTTGGCACCCTGGGGAGGGTTGGATTGGCCTCAGCAGGTGTTGCTGTTTCTGGATTTCAGAGCAGGGTTTGTTAAACTCACTCACCTCCCCAAACCTTCCGAACTTGGGCTTAGAAAGACTGAGCTGCGTCCTGGGAACAGACTGAGGGTCTTCTGCCTCTTTTAAAATGTATTCTTGAGTGTCACTGAGTAAACATTTTATTATTACTTTTCTTTCATGCCTATAAATCTTCACAAAAATTATAGTCCCTTTCCTCCCAGCAGCAGACAAATGAAATGAGTGTGAGGCTTTAAAAAATAAATGGGTACAAGAGGATCATTTTCCAGTCACGGGGCTTTGTATTTCCCTGTTTTCCCAGATTTTGCTGTCGTCTGTCCTGAATTAAGGAAAAAAAAAAAAAAAAAAGGCAAGGGGATAGCTGGTAATGTTTTTCTTTGTTTTCTCAGTATTTCTGGCTCCTGGTGCTCTCCCGGGGTCTGGTTGGCATCGGAGAGGCGAGTTACTCCACCATTGCCCCAACCATCATCGGAGACCTGTTCACCAAAAACACGAGGACCCTCATGCTCTCTGTCTTCTACTTTGCAATTCCTCTGGGCAGGTAAGTGGCACCAAAATTCTTGGGCCTGGTTTTGCCTTTTCACTTAAATGAACTCACGCAGATCTGAAGTTGCTGATGATGATAGTTCTTGTCTTTGGTTGGAATGGTTTAGACAGGAAAATATTGTGAGCTGTGACTAATTAGTAGCAGGAATTAGATTCTTTTTCTGGCCCTGTTGCTGGTTCGTGTGTGACTTTTGGGAATTAGTGGGAAGGATTTTTTTTTTCCCTCTTTTTTTACAGCAGTGGGGTGGAAATGGAATCAAAATATTTTAGCTGACTGTTTCTTTCAGTTGTGTTTCCTTATCAGCCCAACACAGTATCTGATTGTTGGGACAGGAGGGAATCTGTCATTATTTTTATTTTTTTAAAAATAATGGCTGACCCTCTATTGTGAGGTTGTAGGCAGGGAGGGTTTGCATACTTTGCATTCCAGTTCCCAGAGTGGGACAACATCCTGTGCAAAAGGGGCATCAGAGGTTCATTTGCAGCAGGGAATACATGGGTAACGTGTCCCAAACTCAGAGAAAACCTTCTGGTGGTGCATTTTACAAGTTAGAGCACTTGTCCCTGGGACAAAACTCACAAACATCCCTTTGCTCTTGAGGAAAAAGAGAGAAACAGGTCCTTAACTGATGAAAAGAATATTTTGCCAAGAGGGCCAAAGATTCCAAGTATTCACATAGAGAATTCAGTGAACTATGGCTAGCAAGAAATCACAAACACTCATCCTGTCGAGCCTGATTCTGGCACTTAAATATCTCAATATCCAACAGTGACATGGATTACAGGGGCATGGAGTGATAGGCTGTAAACTGAAAGAGGGCAGGGTTAGATGGGATATTAGGAAGAAATTGTTCCCTGTGAGGGTGGAGAGGCCATGGCACAGGTTGCCCAGAGAAGCTGTGGAGTGTCCAAGGGCAGGCTGGAGCAACCTGGGCTAGTGGAAGGTGTCCCTGCCCATGGCAGGGGGTGGAACTCAGTGGTCTTTATGATCCCTTCCAACCCAAACTATTCCATGATTCTGTGGTGATCCACAGTTTGCTTTTGGAGCCTCTCTGTGTAAAAAGCTCAGTTTTGGGGTACTTATAGCTGGCAACCCCCAAAGCTCAGCAGGCTTCAGTAAAGTCAGGTGAGGGCTCAGCTGCCCCACAGCAATCCTGGCAACTTGTAGCCAAGGCCACCTCAGCCACAAATGCAGCAGTTTTGAAAAGGGATATTCACATTCCTTCAGCTCATGTGGAGAAAAGTGTGGCTACGTTCACCTTTCAGTGTCTTTGAGCCACCTCCTGTCTTAGGGCTGAAGGTCCTGTTGCTTCTTAATCCCCAGATGTGATTTCACAGCTTCAGGTTTGATGTTCTCCCACCCCACTGTCTTGCATGTTCTTCTTGGTTCTTCTTACAGGCTTATGGGAAGTGGCCTCTTCCTGGGTAATTAGGACCAAGTGCTGTTGAGTGACAAGAAAAAAATTAAATGATGGAATATGGTGTGTCCTTGAAGGGCATATCACTTTTTAACTGAGAGCTTGAACATAAAATTGTTTAATATTCATATTGGCACACGGGAAGGCCTGATGTAGAAATTACATTGGGAAATACATTCCTTTTGAGGCTTTGCTTCCATGCACTGTAGATTGAAAGGTCAGCTATAAACTTCCAAATTTCCATCAGATTTGAGCATTTTTAGATCAGCAGTGCTGGGAAGAGTCACATATTGGCCACCATCTGCTTCAATCCCCGTGTTCCTTCCTGCAGGAGAAGAGAGCCCAAGAGTTGGTTGTGCCTCTCTTTATCTTTGTCTAAGAACAGCTGTGACTGTGCCACTCCTAAAGCTCTGACCAACCCTCATCTTGCCATTTCTTGCAGTGGCTTGGGATACATCACTGGGTCCAGCGTGAAGCAGGTTGCTGGAGACTGGCACTGGGCCTTGAGGGTAAGTCCCTGGTAATCACATCTTAATGAGAGTTAATTGATTGATGTGTGTTAGGAAGAGTTCCATCACACAGTTGTTCGACCTGTTATTATATCTGGAAGTTTAAAGGACTGGAGATTACAGCCACAGATGTTCAGTGCACAGCAGATGCACTCCCTAAGCAAAGGGGAGAGGTGTGTGGGCTTGGCTTGTGGTGCTTGGTGTTTTCCCTGCCTGGGAGCAAGAATTTTCCAATCTCTTTATTATCAATCACCCATGATTTCTTGATGGGGATGGGAAGATGAGGCATTGGCCTTAAATCAACTCCACAGTCTTTCAGTCCCCTGCTGTCAAGAAACTCCGAGAATGGCTTCCTGCTTTGAGGAAAAAACACTTTGTTCCAGTTTCCGCTTGTTTTTCTGCCCTGAGACAGTCGGTTTCCTTCTATTTTAACCTCTTGGGACCCTGATAAACGTGCTGAAAAGATAATCCACTCCAATCACATGCTCACAAACAGATCCTGCACACAAAGATGTCTTGAAAGAGCCGAGAGGAAGTGGCCCAGCAGAACTGGTTCCTGACCTTTGGTGGTGAGAGTGGCACAAGCCCACGTGAGGTGCATTCTCTGGCTCTGGCACTTCATGAACACCCTGGAGCTCAGGCCAACACCATTTATACCAGCAGGTGATGAAATCCATGGGTTCCCACCTCAAGAAAATGTGCCCTCTGTGACACAGACCATGCCCAGGAGAAGCAAAGCCAGAACACCAGCATGAGGGTGGGAGGGCATTTCCCAGCTGGGAACCTGGGATAGAAAGTGCAATGTCCTGCAGCTTCACACCAGCAGGATGGCTACAGCATTCAGCAGCAGAAATACTTGAGGGTAAAATTAACTTTTGAGCAGAGACCAGCACAAGGAATGAGCTCCCCAAAGCCCCTCCTCCTGCTCAGGGGGCTCTAAGGAGGTTGATGTACCAGAGTGCTCTTGTAAAACCCAAATCTGGCCATAAAACCCAAGTGGGTAATTTGTGCAAAGGGATCCTCACCAGCATTTTTCTCTTCAGATGGTATCTCCACAGTTATCCTGAGACATCCAGGCTATCTGCAAGACTGTACCCTTCCAGAGTCATGATTTCCACTGTAAATGACACACTGGTGCATGATTCCCTGAGTGTAAAATCACTAGGAATCTGATGAGCTGCACGTGCCTGGGGTGGTTCCTTTGGACAGCATTGCTCAGTTTTTGTAGTCACACAGCACACACTGAAGGCTTCCAGACATCAGTGTAAAGCAGTTTTTTCATCCCTGTGGCAATTATTGTGCCTCCTGCAAGATGTGAATGATTGCCCAAGGTGATGCTTCCCCCTGTGATCTCCTGTGGGCTCCAAATCCAGGAGAGGTCAGGAATGATCTGTACTTCAGTGGGCTGAAGAAGACAGAAGGACACGTGGACAAGTGGCAGCTTTGTCTCTGGATCCAACAGTAATGTGGCTGTTTCCTGGGAGCATTATTGAGTGTCCATGGATATTGTCAGTGGATTTTGTCCTGGTGGGGGTTTAAGCCTTTAGATAAAAATCAAGGAGACTTGAAATTATCTGGCCCTAAAAAATAGCAGCAATTCTGGTTTTTTTACCAGTGCTGCCTTGTGTTCAGCTGTCATAAGGAAATTGTATCAGCCTTCCTTTATTCCTGGATGAGGGATTTTCCTGACTTTCCAGTTCTGAAATACTTTTGTCTTCTCTTTCCTAGCAGAACTGTGGGTTTGTCATCTTAGGACATGAAACACTGCTCAAAGTGTAAAGGCCATTCTCAGGTTAATAATGGAAGCATATTTTTTGGAACAGGGATTTATTTTTTAAATAGCATGTCTAAGTGGGATAATAGTTCAGTGAAAATCCGTGTTCCTGTTTTCCTAACGGAGCTATTTTCCATTCTATCAATAATGGAATTTCAGTGTCAAAACAAGAATAGTGTTTGTAGCTTGCAAAGCACTGTGGGATCTTTGTATTTTTGTCTAGTGCTTGGGAGAAAGGATTGGATACTGGGAAGCCTAACCCTTGAATGTGTCCTTTTCCTGCCTCCTGGCCTGAATTTTCAGTGTTTCTTGGTCTGCTGTACACTGAGGTTATCTGAGGGAGATGCCTGAAAATGGGAAGCCACTGTGGGTTGGCTGGAAGAAGGAGGCATGCCAAGCAAGGGTTTTCAAAGCCAGAATGCTCCCTACATCCAGAAATCCTTCACCCTTGCCTTGAAAAGGTTTCTGCACTCACCCAGAAAGTCTCTCAGCCCAGCTGGGAGCAGCTTTCCGAAGAGCTAAACATCACTAAGAACCAGTATTTTGATGAATCTTGGTACTTATTAACACAACAGACTGCCTTAATCAGGGATTGTCAAAGCTGCATGTTTCCAGAGTGAGATAAGAGTCCAGGAATGACAGGGAGGAAGGAAAGGAGTGGATGCCTCGAGTGCTCACAGATTCTGACTTGAACAGTCCCTGAAACCAAGCCAATGTAATCTACTTCTCACTGACCAGTCAAAGCAAACCCTCCTGGACTCCTGTGCTAATTCCCTGCCCCTTTCTTGCAGGTATCTCCACTCCTGGGAATGATAACAGGGACACTCATCTTGATATTTGTTCCTGCTGCTAAAAGAGGAAATGCTGAACAACTTGGGGGGCAGCTGAAGGCTCGGACCTCGTGGCTGAGAGACATGAAAGCACTGATTAGAAAGTAAGAGCACTTGTAAAAACCATGCTTTGCCTCTAGTGCTTAATTGGAACATCCAGTGGCCTGGATTTAGCACTGCAAAGTGATGACATGCAGGGAGTTGCAGGAAGTTTAGTCTGTGGACCTGGGAAAGAAAATGGCAGTTACACGAGGTATTGACTGCAGTGATGATGCTGCATTCCAACTTCTGCTCTAACCTCTCCAAGACTGACATCTAAGAAAGAGTCTGCTTTGTTTGGCTCATACTTCACACAAATCAAGTCTTTTGAAGTGGAGAAATTGCTGTGCTCCTGTATTAATTGTTGTGGCACTGTTGTTCAGACACTTAGATCCTTTTTCTTCCTTAAAAGAGCTACTTTACCGGGGGGGGGAAAGAGAGTTAAATGCCAGAAAAAAAATAAGAGGAGAAAATACACAAAAGCTTACACTACATGGCAAGTTTAAATATATGTTTACACAACCACTTGTGACTGAATCTGTGAGCACTGAATGTGTTTGGGTGCTTGTATATGTGCATAAAAGATCACATGCTCACGAGTGTTTAAGCAGCTGTGCTTCCCTCCAGAAAGCTGGGCTGTGAATGTACAAGTACTTGCACTTGTGAATTCAGTGTTACATTGGAATTCTGATGGGAAACTGTGGTGTCCTTCATTTTTAGGACTGCTGGCTGGAATGCCTTCCTGGTATTGTCATCCAGTGTCAAAGGACTATGAGAAGCGATGATGGATAATTTGTCAATATTTCTGTGTTACTTCTTTTGGTAGTTTATGCAAGTGGCAATCACGTGGTGGCATGGATGGGGAGGGGGAAGTGAAACTTGTCATCCATTTAAACAGGTGACATTAGGGTGACAGCTCTGTAATTCACATATCATGACTAAGTACTGATTATCTTCTGAAATGGTCCTGTGAAAAATGGCCTCGGAAGAGTCCAGTGCATTATTGTCAGTGGAGCATCCCCTGTGAATATTCCATGCTTCTTATTCTCCACTGCTTTATACCTTGTGTTATCCCTGCCTTGGCAAAGGGAGGTGGCAGGTGTGGGGGAACACTGTTTTGTGAAGCCCTGGCTCCCGTGTGGGGCTCCTGCTTTCTCCCTTTTCCCACTAAACCTTCCCTTGGCTTTGCCTCCGCAGCCGCAGCTACGTGTTCTCCTCCCTGGCCACCTCGGCCGTCTCCTTTGCCACGGGGGCACTTGGCATGTGGATCCCTCTGTACCTGCACAGGGCACAGGTGGTGCAGAAGACAGCAGAGACCTGCAGCTCGCAGCCCTGCGGCACCAAGGATAGGTGAGAGGCAGACTCGGAGGGGGGAAAGGGGGGTGGGGGCTTATTTACCAGAGGAAACAGGCAGGTCCCACAGAGTCAAGTCACTAGAATGTCTGTCATTTCCTCTAGGCCCTTGCAACAATGATAGGAAATGCTGGGATTGTAAACTAGGTTTTATTTCTCTTCTTCATTGCATGAAGTCAAACGCAGGGAGAAGCAATGACCTCAGCTCTCTTAGTTCCCAGGCTGGGGTGCAGGGTAGAAAAGAGACTTTTGTCTTTGCCTCAGAGGATGTTTGGAGAGCTGAGAACGTGGCTCCTTAAGACCCATCTGTGACAGAGCAGGTAGCCCCAGTGGTGGCTGTAATTTGGAGGTTGGAATGGTTCCCCTAAAGCTGCAGGGGAGGCTTTTGTTTCCGTGTGAGGCAGGACTTCACTGTTTCATTGCTCTGTAAACTGCTGTGCCTGCTGAGTTGTGCTAAAGAATGTCACAGAGATCTGGGACGCTTTGGGCTTGATGCTGTGCAGTGGTTTGGGTTTTTGGTCCTGGTTATGTAATATCACTTGCAGCACATGAGCTATGAAAAGTAATCCTTGTGCCCCAGCATGATGGCACAAACCAGAAAATGCTATAAAAGCATTTCTCCAGGTAAATAAAAGATAGGAAAAACTGCCTTTTGTCAGCTCTTTTGCTTTTTAAATCATGAGGGAAAATAATAGTAGGAAAACCTTCTTGCTCTAGCTGAATAATCCCATCTCAAGTAAACTACTGAGTGGTTTGGAGTCCCATCAACCAGTGTCCAGCAGGCAGGCTCAGGCTGCTCTGCAAAAATGCAGTGAGCAAAAAACACAGCCCCAGTCTGCTATTTACAGAGAGTTTTCCCCTCCTTGATGACACCTCGATTTTGAGCTGCCCTGGAGCTACTCTAATGGAGTTGCCAAAGACTCTGTAATCCAAGTGCTGCACGTACAGTACAGAGAATCCTTGACAGCTCCTGGCTCTTTAAATTGAAATTAACACATTTCAAGTGTGTAACCCAACAGCAAAAGGCTGCTTTGAAGTGGTCTGAAAGGAGCTATAAAGTCAAGGTGTGTTGAAAATCGTGGTATTTAAGAGTCTTATTTAGGTTTCCCTTCCCTTAAGCTTCCCGGTGCCTGTTCCGTCCATGATTTCCCATTACATGATCAATGTGCAGGTTATTAGTTAGTTCTGTGCATGCAAAATTAGCTGTACAGGGGACTCTGTGGGATGCTCAGTTCCACCCAAAGAAGCAGTGTGAGCCCTTTGCCTAGGGATCAGTGCCTGTGTAGGAGGCTGAGTTGCGTGTGCTTAGTTTTTCTGAATTACAGGGGAAGAGGGCTAAAACCACCAGCACTCAGCAGGGGAGCTCTTCTAATTTTTGATTTTTTTTTAAAATCTACTTAAATACTTTTAAAATTTTAAATCTCATTTTTCAATCTGTGAAGCTGCTGACTGAATTCCCGGTCGGCAGCTCACCCCAGCGATTCGGCCGCGCCCGCTTTTGGGAAAAACTCTAAAAAAAAACCCAAACCACACGCCTGCCTGTTGTTTTTATTCATATTTTTTTATTTATTTCCTAGCTTGATCTTCGGGGCCATCACGTGCTTCACTGGCTTCCTGGGTGTCATCACGGGGGCGGGAGCGACCAAGTGGTGCCGGCTGAAGACGCAGCGGGCGGACCCGCTGGTGTGTGCCGTGGGCATGCTGGGCTCTGCCATCTTCATCTGCCTCATCTTCGTGGCTGCCAAGAGCAGCATCGTGGGAGCCTATGTAAGTGTGATCCTTCCCGTGTGCCAGCCCCCCCCCCCAGACTCCCTTCACTGTCCCCCGCAGGAAGCCTGAGGTGTTGTCTTGCTTCTGCTTTTGGCATTTTGGCCCAGGCTGGGGGTGCCCGGTAGCTCAGCTGCTCATCCCTGCTGGCTGGCTGTCATCAGCCGTGGGAACCCACAGGTCTGTTCTCTCTGTACCTCCACCCACACCTTTTTTATTGCTCTTGCCCAATGTGTTGGTACAGGAAAATCGACTTCTTCCCTTGCAATGAGGGTATTGTAGCTGCAGTGGTACCAGGTTATAATTACAGTGTCATTTGTTTGTGGGCATGCTTTGGGCTGCCTTGAGGTACCACTCATTTCCATAACTGGGTAGATTGCAGCAGACCAGTATTAATTACTGGGTGATTTCAGTTTGCTGTTATCTGTATCACCATAGCCCCAGTCACAGCCCAGGAACACACAGTCCTGGATGCTGCACAAATGCAGATTAAAATATGGCCCCTCCCCAAGCGTTTCTAATTGAATTATACAAAAGGGTAGCAAATAGATCCAGGCAAATAGAATCATAGAATGGTTTGGGTTGGAAGGGATCTTTAAAGGTCATTTAGTCCAACCTCCTTGCACTGTGTGGGGACACCTTCCACCAGACCAGGTTGCTGAGAGCCCCGTCCAACCCGGCCTTGAATGTTCCCAGAGATGAGGCAGCAACAGCTTCCCTGGGCAACCTCTGCCAGTGCTTTACCACCTCCTTTGTAAAAAGCTCCTTCCTTATATCTAATCTAAATCAACCCTCTTTTAGACTGAAGGGAAAAGGAAAAGCTCAACTGTAATAATCCAGCCTCGGGCTAAAATCTTGCTTCCAGTAGGGAGCGGAAATCCAGTCTCTGAACAGGTCCTGGGTTCCCTTTTAATATCACAGAGGGAACATGTGGGGTTCTGGGAGAGTTCAGGGTTCTGGGGTTCAGGGACCCAGGAGAAGTTTTTGAAGGGAAAGCAGGAGGTGTTTGGAGTGGTGGGATCCCTTCTGAAAGCCCTCCCTCAGCCTCCACATAGCAGTGCACACTCCACCCACAAGGAGAATTCACTTACAATTAACCAACCAACTGCTGTTCCTCCTTTCTCTGTGTTTCTGGCCATGGTTATTTGGTGAGTATTTCAATAGCTGCCATTGTTGTGAGGAAGCACAAGAAGAAAGAGTCAAAGTTCAACATGACTAAGATGGGACCCAGAATGTCCACTCTGGCTGTTTAGAAAGTGCCAGAAGGAGATTCAGGTCTCTGGTTTGTGGCCTGGGCTAGAACTGACCTTCGGTTCAGCAGAAAAATGATCACCTCAGACAACCTGTGAGAGGCTGTTACTGGTTGGTGAAGCATTAACATTTCACTGTCAGCTGTCTCTGAGTGAAGATCCATCACATCCCTTACCTGCTCCCTCCACCTCTGTGTGATTTTCTCCTTTCTCAGACCCAATGACATGTTCATTTGTGGTGTTCAGTCTCTTTATGCAGAAACCCCTCCATTTCTAAGCTGGAAATGCTCTTTTCAAAAATTGTGCAGCAAAAGGTGGCCATTGATCTAATTTTTATCTTTTTTTTTCTATAGTCTATAGCCATATGACTATTCTGCATTGTATAAGCATGTAAATATAGATGGTATTATTTAACCAGTCTTAAAAACAATTTATTTTATTATGAATGGGCAGTAAATCTAATAAAGAGTCAATGATTTGCCAAGGGAGTTATAGCTGCATATGGGGGGAGTTTGAGGAACATGAGCCAGTTTGTGATGCTGTTAGGCTGAAGCAGGTAACACTGCCTGTCTGTAACCCTAAATGTGCTCTCTCTGCTGCTGGAAACCTGATCCTAAAAGGGGTGGACAGGTCTGTGTTGGAGCTACCAGTGTCTTGTAACACAAGGTATTACGTGGCAGTGCCGTGTATCAGTTGAACTGACTTTTCAAGGCAAGTTTCAAACACCAGCCCTTGTTTTTCCGTGCCATTCAAAGCTGTTTCAGTCTTCCAGAGTGTTTCATTCCCTTGTATTTCACTGGGAGACATGTCTTGCAAGGTTGCTTGGTGTAGAAGTTTCTCCTTGCTCTCTCTTTTAAGTCTCACTGGTCTGAAAGGAAGGAGAGACTGTCCTGTGACTCTGGAGCTGGAACACTGAGCTATGGTGGACAGAATGGTGGCCTGGGTTTCCCTTCCTTATCTCAAAATCCATGATAAAATCTCCTTCTGGAAACAATACAGGAAAACTTGTGGGATGATTTTCCCATCTCTGATATCTTCCTTCACAGCTCCTGTCCTGACTTACATCCTCGAGTTCTGTGTGTCTGTGAAAGGCAAGAGCAGTGTTCTGACCTGTCCCCCAGCATGGGGCTGTTTGCCAACCTTCTGTAATGTGCCTGTCCTTAGACTGCTGTCACGGATCACACCATGTCAAAATTGACAGTTACTGGTTTTAGACCCCTCACTGGCTTTAAAATTCTTCCTTCCAAGCAGTTGGATGGCTCCCCATGAGATGGTGATCTCTGTCACTGAGCTCTGGTGGCCCCCAGATCACCACCTCCCTCCCTGCTTTAGTTAACAGTTGAGAGTTTTTAATGTCAGCATCAGCTTAAATGAAGTGTTCAGCACTCCAGCAAGAACCTGCAGAGCTCTTGGATTTATAGGGTTTATATTTCTGGAAAGAACCCTGCACATCCATGAGCATGATCCCCCTGGCCCTTACATGCTCTCTGCTCTCTTCCTCCCCTGAACACATGTCCTTTTTCTCCCTTGCTCACTCTTACAGGTGCTTTTGGTCTCTGGGGGCAGCTGCTATTCCAGTTCTGTAGCAGCCATTCCTACCTGGAGCAGGGAGACAAATTAGTTTTTTCCATCCAGTCTTTTCATATTAATCCAGTCAATTATTGGCAGTGGTAGAAGTGGCTGGCAAGGTGGAACAAACCAGTTTTCTGTGTCACTTTGCTTCCCACACACTTGTATTTCTCTCTTTTACAATCTCACTTGGCTGTATAGTTCAATCAGTTCTTATTCAGTTTTCCTTGCAGTGTGTGTTGTAATCCAGCTCCTTAAACACCAATTTGCACATCTGTAGGTCCCACTCTTTCTGAAATATGTACTCTTTGGAACCTTGGTTTTCAAACCTGTCTCTGGAAACCCATTATCTGTGTGGCATCATCATCTCACACAGCTCAGGCAATTCAGCTGCTGATTTTACACTCCTTTAAATCTCCAAATGACTGGAGAGAGATGCTTTGCTTCTCCTTCCTCTTGACACTGTTCCAAGTTCCTCAATTTCAGCATCTATTTCAATTCCTCAAAGACATTTTATGATCTTGCAGAAACAGCAAATCCCAGGGTAAAACCTTGCCATGGAGCTTTTACAGCAGCTCAGTCTCAGCTCCAGGGACTTCCTGGTGATGTGGTGTTGGTGATCTGCCTGTTCCTGAGGCATCAGCATTGCCCAGCACTGAGCTGGAGCTGGAATTGCTCCACATCCAAGAGGATATGAGGGTGTCTTACCCACCATTTCAGAGAGAAATACAAATAATGAAGATGTTGACGGATACCACGGAAGGAGTGTATAACCTGCTTAGGTCTTGCTGTGAGATCTGCTGGGGGGACCACTCTGAAACCTACTTTGTTTATAATTTTGGGGAATCAGAATTTGCTAACTCACTTAAACAGAATGGCTCAAGGGGGACATAACTTCTGCCAGCTCAGCACAGGTGAGCAGCTGGACACCAAAGGGAGATGGTGAGATATGACACAGCTGGAGTCAGAAGAGGATGTTTTCACAGAGCAGAAATCTCAGTGTAGAGTGAGGCTTCAAAAAGTGTGTGAGGAGTCAAAGCCATGAGCATTTCAGGAGCTATTGATCTCTTCTGGAGCTGCCCTATTTGCAGTAAGCATCCCTAGAGTTCTCTCTCCAGCAGTAACATCACATATCCTCATTTGCCCTTTGCAGTGCATGAACTCATTTTTAGAAGTCCCCATTAGCAGCTGAAGGACAGACATTTTTTTTTAATGTCAGTATCTTTTGTCCTGCTTTTTGATCTTCCTCTTGTTCCTCTTCTCCTTTTACCAGTAGCCACACATCAAGCACATGGTTCATGGAACGGGTGAAATAGCACATTCAACAACTGAGAGCTGGTGCACTCTGAAGTCTGGAGCATTTCAGTGATTTATTTATAGGCCTTGATAGGAATATAGGACTTAATAGGAATATAGGACTTACAGGAATTCAAGTGAATTCCTGCACGAGGGGCAAGTCCTCCTTGCTGCCTGTAACAATTCATCCATGTGTGCACTTCACATAACCTCAAGGCAAGCAGTTGCCTGTTTGCAATGTGTATGAGCAGGCAGGGCTTGTTGATGCTGCATTTGGAAGTGTGATCCCATCTCTGCCAAGCTCAGTTTGATCCATCCAGCCACAGAACCCCAGCAGCAGCAAAGCTGTGGCAGGACATGTTTCAGAGCAGGTCTGAGAGCCCACCTGGGGCTCTGAGAAGTCCTTGCTGTGGGACATGTGGCTCCAGCTCCTGTCAGCACCTTGGTTCAGTGGATCTGTGTCCTGAGCTTGGCAGTTGGCATTTCCAAGTTCAGGGCAGACCAGTGGACAGTGGGGAGGTGGGAATGGAGATTTCCTTGCCCACACCATCACAGAGGAAACAGATCCAGTCACAGAGAGAGGGGATAGGGAGGGAGAATGTGTGGGAAACAAAGGCAATTTTAGAAACAAATAGAGGAAGCTTCTGTAGGTCGGTGTGTAAGACTTGCTAAATAAAGCAAATTATTCCTGGCAGTGACATGATGGTCTGGGGGGTTTAGGGAACCTCAGCTGGTGTGTGGGAAAGACAGTGGCAGCGGCCACATCATGCCATCTTGCAGTTTCTTGGCTTTTAATGTCTCTTGCTGACCACCTCCAAAGAGCCAGGGGTTATATTTCACCACAAGGCACTGATGTTGCCAAGCCCATACTTAATTCCTGTCTTGGCTGTACACAGATGTCACCCATGCTGTGCCACTGGGGTGGGAAGGGATCCTCCACCTCATCTCATGTGCTACAGAGTTTAACACATAACTGGGTTAACATTCCTGGTGATGAAAATGTCTGTGCTCTGGGGAGTTGGGGCCTTCTTGCCTTCTCTGACTGGCTTTTTGGAACAGAATGGTGCAAGTTGGACTTGATGGTCTTGCAGGCCTTTTCCAGCCTCAACAATTCTGACTGTAGGTATGGAAGCTGTCTCTTCTTTCTGCTTTCTCACGTTCTACCATAACCAAATATGTCAGCCTTTGTTTTAGCTGCTCTGTAGTTCATAAACTTAGTTAGTTTACACTAACAAAATTGCAGGCCAACCCTCTAGAGCTCTGATACAAATCTATGGTTTGCTAATATTCAGGATAAACCACAACAGTAACAAGGAGTGTGTTGTGTAGGTAAGAGACAAATAAGCAACAAAGGCAAGTTTGCGACAGGTTATTTTCCCTTTGAATGTCAAGTGAATAAATCTTCTCCTTTTTGTGTGTTTTGTTACAACAGATTTGCATTTTTATCGGAGAAACTCTTCTGTTTTCAAACTGGGCTATCACAGCAGACATTCTGATGGTGAGTGCACTTTGGAACAGCATCTTTTGGTGTTCAGAACAGTTTATGAGCTTGCAAGAACAACCTGAAATTCACAATTTCTTCCAAATCCTGCTTCAGCCTATTCTGGTTTTTTTGTTACTAAGTGACATAGAGAGAGAGGTAGAAAAAAGATTCTTCTTGTCCTTTGTTCTGAGCACCAGGGAGAGGAGATGTCCAGAAAGGACAACATTTCTGAATTCAAATAATTTCCCCAAATGTGAAGTGTTTGTGCAGAGCCTCACATGCACAGAATTCGGCCAGAATTTCCTAACAGTCAGCACATTCATGGATTTTGTTATCAATAACTCAGCTTTGTTCTGCCATAGGAAATCCTTCCCTCCCTCTCTCCCTTGTCTGACCACAAAGGCAGCTCATCTACCTACCATTCAACACATCCACAATAGAAACCCACCTCTGGGAGAGCAGGGAGGAAAAGAAAGTATAAAGAATTTTTGGATCGTGTCCACTTTATCCAAGAGGAAACTGTCAGGGACTTTTCACCTCATGTCTTTAATTTTTGATTCTTCCTCCACCACAGAGCTTTTTAAGTCTTTCTGATCAGCAAGTTGACCTCAGCAGCCCCGTTTTCACATGAAGTAGTGTGGACATTTGTTCAAGAGCCTTGTGTGTTTTGTAGAGGCTTCATCAGAGCTGCACAGAGCCCATCAAACATAACATGTTGAAACCCTGTTGTGAAGGAGGTGCTGCTTATTGTATGAAAAAAGAAAGGCACTAAGGCACAGAACCATTACAGGACTTGCCCGAGGTCCTTAGCCAGCTTGTTGACAGAACTAAAAATACAATCAGTCTGGCATCAACAGCAAACTGCCTTGACTTGTATTTGTTGCTTGTGCAAACATCAAGGAGGAAACAATCAGGCTGGGTACTCCTAGATGGAAAGATAATGGTGTTGATGTATTGATTCAGCAAAGAACTTCAAGCCTCTGCTTTAGCAGTGTTTGTGCTGGAGTTCAGGGTTTGTTTGTGTGTTGAAGCAGCTCAGCAGTTGCCATCACGGATCAACTTTCCATCTTTAACTCATTTGTGCAGGGAACGCTGTGGGGGGTGGGGGGTTAATTCCACTGCTCTCAGATGTGACTAAACATGGAGAAATGAAGGTTTCAGGGTACTTTGGTAGCACTGGAGGGCTTTTAATTCCCGAGGTTCCTCCCTCCTGCCAGTGTGCTGTGACAGCTCTGAGCGGTGCTTCCCGGTGCTTCCGTGGGGTTTGCAGCTCCTGCTGAGTTCAGGGCTGCTCTGGCCATTTATGCAGTGGTATCTCAGCACTTGGACAGATGTGCAGCCTCCAGGCCAGCTGTGCTGAGGAAGAAATTATAGTGCAGTGTGTGTAGTTGCTCATTCCTGCCTCCTGCCAGAGCTTCCTGTCGCATCCTGCCTCTGGCTGGGATGTTCCCGGGAGCGATCCCGGTTCTCTCTGCTCAGAATTTCGTGGATGGGTTTAAATGGCAGCTCTCTGTAGCCTCACTAGCGTTGGCTGGCTCAGGTAAGGGCTCAGCCACCAGCACATCTGCAGCTCTCAGAGCAGCTGAGGTGGTGTCTCTGCTCAGAGGGAGGGTCCTGTCGGACGTGTTCAAGGTCCTCCAGAAAGTCTGTGCCAGAGAGAGACCTGAAATGTGGCCTCTGTTGTCTCAGGCTAACCCCAAAAGGTATTTTTCAACCAACTGCTCTGTTATATCAAGGGTATTAGGGCTGGATCATTGTCCTGTTTTAATTACTCAGATCTTTTTGTGTTGATTTCAATGTGACTTCAGTATCCCATGGCTTTTTAACAGCTTTTATAGGGTCTGCCATCTGCCTCACCAGCATCCCATAGCCAGTTGCATTTTGTAGGGATGCATTTGCTGTTATTTACTGTGCTTTAGTGCAAAAGAACTCCATAAGAAATGATTGGGAGCAATAGTTCCATTTTCCAAAACAAAGGAAAGAAATTAAAACCCTGTTAAAAACTGGATTTTGGTAATTGCTGCCAACTCCTCAGCTCACTGTTCTCTGGTCTGTTTAGAAAACTGAACTGAGTGTCATATATAATGCTCAGCTTGGGGCACTAAAAGCACCAGTGGACCTGTGAAAGTGTTGAAGGAATAAATGTAAACATCATTTAGATGAGTGCAGGGCTGTAACCAGACAGGCTGAATGCAGTGGGATCACCCAAGGGGGGTTGAGGGGGTGTTTAGGCTGTCACTGGGTGAGAGCCAGGGCTGTAACCACCTTTGACAGACAGCTTTGTGGGAAGTCCTTGCCAGAGGAAGGTGTGGATATGCTTTAGCAAGATGCACTTTAATGTTTGGCAAATTAATTTCTACTGATTACTATTTATTTGGTGTAATCAGAAGTGTGCTGTTCTTGCCTGGGGCTGGGAAGGAGTTTAAAAGGATTATTAGCGTGAGCTTAACAACACTTTCATCCTATACATAAATATTACCCTGTTTTCATGGATAAAAGCTCTCAATACTGGCTGAACACTGTTCCTGCTGATCTCATTATGCCAGGAGTGAGGCTTTTTGGAGACTGCATCCCAAATGATTCCTCACAGCTCTCCCAAGATTTACAGATCTCATGACTGCTTAAGAACCCTATCGGGCAGGTTGTTAAGCACCTCCAGAGGTTTTACAAGTTTAATTTCCATGGCAAAACAAGGATGTTTGCTTATTATCTTCCAATTTAATTGTTGGCTCTCCCTGGCTTCGTGCTTCCCTTGCATCTGCTGTGCCTGCCCGTGGAAGGGTCGTCGTGTGGCTCCTTGTCTTGTCTGCAGTCCAAGGTGCCAAGTGCTGGCTCTGATAAACTGTCAGTGCTGCAGAATGTTCTGCCCTGCCTGAGATTTTGAAAGGCTGATATTTGTTCCAAATGCAAATTTGTACAAAACAGGCCGTATTCTCCTGAGCACAACTCTCCATATCTCCTCCCAGGCACATGCTCAGACGGTGCTCGGGGAAAGGGGGGATGTTTTGTGTGGAGCATGCTAATTATGAAACAGGTTCCATCAGCCATCTCTGCAAATTGGCCTTAAAATCACCAGAACCCCAAAGAGGCATTAAAACTGCCTTGTAACAGCAGTAATGGATGAGCTTCAGTGCAGCAGGCGAGTGTGTCGCAGGCTGAGGCGTGGGGAGTGCTTGGGACTTGGTGGAATCTGGTCCTGGTAGTGGGGTTTTCCCTTCACAGCACATCTCAGAAATAGAGATGATGGACAGAGGCTTGGTGGCATTTCTGTGTAAGAGCAATTTAAAGGCCCTTATCTATTTCCATCACAGCCTCTTTAGGTCTTTGCTGAGAAAAGCCATCCCTCAGTTTATGCACAGTCCTGACACTCATGCAACGAAATTGCTCTACTTATTTCTGTTTTCTTTTAAAGCATTAGGTCTTTTTACATGGTCATGACCTGCTGTGGAGGAGCTGCTCTGATGTTTTGCTGTAGAGTCAGAGTCTTAGGCTGGAAACAGGCACAGACTGCTGCTCAGCTGTGCCATGGGCATGGAGAAATGTTGCCTTTGTCCTGATTACCTTCCCTATAAATAAACCCCAGTTATTTATTTAGTCCAAAATGCTGCCCTATTTTTAAAGCTGAAGATAAATTACATTTCCAGAACCTCTTGCTGGTGCTTCTCTCAGTGCCTCCACTTAGCAGTGCCCAGAGTGCTGGGGGTTGGATTTGAAGGCAGGATGAGAAGTGCCTGGGAATGAGGGTACAGCCCATTCCAAACCAGCCAAGGGCTGCAGGAGAGGGTGCACTGCTCCGTGGTGTGTGGGAGCTGGAGACCAGGTCAGCCTCCTTATACTTCATTTAAGAGTATTTTATTAGACAGTGGCTGCCTGGTTTTTGTCTCAGGCTGCTCTCTCTGGATCCCAGCCTGAACACAGGTACAACAGGGACACCTGGGCTATTCATTCCCAGGCTCGGGCAGTGGCTGGAACAGGGTTACTGTGTGTTTTCTTTGCCTTCAGTGCTGAAAGTATGAATTGCCCTGACCCAGAAAGTGCTTTAGAGAGTAGAGTTTCTGTCAAAGCTTAGGCATAAACACCAGAACTCACCTCTCTGGCACGTGGCCTTTTTCTGGGAGAAGGGTAATCTCCCGTTGGCTTTCCCAGTTAACTTATTTCAGACCAGCTTCCTGCTTCCATCCCAGGAAGGAGATGTCAGCAGCAATCCATGGCCTTTCTGAACCTCTATTTAAAGAGCAGAGGTTTCCAAAGCTGCTTGCTCAGCCTCCCTGCCCATCCTCTGTGCTGCCTGTCTCTGAACCTGGGATGAGGGATGAGCCAGGCCGATCCCACAGGCTTCCGCCTTGGCTGCTGTGGCTCTCCCACCCCCAGTTTCTGTGGGATGTCCAAACCAGGCCATGGATGGTTTGAATTTAGGTCTATTTTAGTATCAAAATGCCCATGTAGGGCTGTAATTTCCTGCTGTCTGCCTAGAAGAGTAGACAATGTCTGCTACCAACTGCTTCCTGTCCATCAGGAGAAAATGCTTTTTAAGCAGGGATGGGGTGGAGTATCTTTGGTGTTTTGGAGATGCTGGTTTAAGCTTTGTTTTTTTCACTTCCAGTATCTTTTTCAAGCAGGACAAAAAGTCTTGTATTCATTGGCTTGCCATATGTTGGGTTTTAGGTTTGAGTGGGCTGTTTGTCTCTTGAATTCCAGGCTAAATTTAATAAGTTTTGGCACTTCACATTGTTTCAGCTATCAATAACTTCTTCAGCTAAGCACACTGAAAATTTGCTGGAAATTGTACTGCTGCTTGCCAAATTATGTCTGCATAATACATCTACACATGCAAAATTATGTCTAATGTAAGTGTGAGTGTGTATTTGTGTGTATAAATATATATATATGTGGATATATATGCACACAGACATATGATACAGGTATCATTCAGATTTCTTCCTCTAACTGGCACCAATTCACTGCCAATCCCTGGAAATGGTAAATTTTTAATAAATGTGCCATTTCCTTTGCCCTTTTGCTAAGAAAATTGATATAATACGGGGCCAGGCAGGCTTTCTTCTCCAGGTTTGCTGATGTAAACTTTACAGAAAGAGAAATGCTTTAGGTTTAAAATCCCCTGTTTCACAGATGCACACACAGCTCTGGACTCTTCAGTTAGGCAGAATTTCACTGTATCTTCTCAGATGCCTTTTCCCAGACAGCCTTTCCAGAATATTTCTCCATTGTCCCTGTATGAACTGGGGCCAGGTGGGAAGAACAACAATAACTCACTCTTAATTTTTCTTTTCTTCTGTCTAATCTCTCCAGTTTGCACCGATTTTCCTGCCTCTTTGGGGAGTGGGAATGAATTGTGGGGCTCTCCTACTGTTCACAGCCTGACCTTCAGCAGGCTTTTGTGTCTCCAATAAAGTCTGGAGCTAATTTTCCTCTCGGGATTTCTGTCTCTGAGCCGTGTTCTGAGCTCCTGGATGCAAAAGGAGGACAGGGTCTGACATCCCCAGCTGGGTGGCTGCTGTGGATCTGAACATCTTCTGCTCTTTTATTGCACAACAGGAGTTTAACAGGGTGCCTGTTTAATACATGGCATCAAAGTGCATTAGCAGTGTGCATTTGCAGCTTTGTCAAAGCAGGGATGAAAGAACTGGCAGGTCACTCTGAAAGCACGTGGCAAAACCCTAAGGAAAAGCATTTAATCTAATTTTACCCATCATTCGTAACTGTCTGTGCTTGGAACGAGGTGATCATTCTAAACAGGCAGCAGTTCTCTTCTGGGGTGGGTTTTCTCTGTGCTCTTTCTTTTCTTGCTGGTTTTTATGGCTCCTTCTTTCCCCTGCAGACAGGGCAGCTCCCCTTCCCTAAGAGGAGCTGTCAAAGCACTGGAAGGTGCTTCCCATCCCCTGCCCTGAGTGAGCTCTCCTGCTCAGGGAATGGATCTCTCTCTGTAGCTCTGGCCAGTCCTAAATGTCACATTTAATTAATGAATGACTACAGGAAAGGATTGCAAGGATGAGCTGAAGCCCTGGCAAGGCACAGCTTCTAAAGAAAGACTGAAGGCAGCCCATCAGAGAGAAAGTGGACAAATAAAAGGGATGATGGTCCACAAAGAGCTGAACAAGAGTCATTCCTGGCAGGGCACACAGCTCTCCAGAGCCACAGGAAAAGGCACAGTGAGATTCAGTGCTTAGAGGCAGAAACAAAGCTCACTTGGATTTAGAGACCTATTGAATTCTTCATTACTTCCAGCCTTTAAATCAAGACAAGATCAATTTATAAACCGGGATTTGTGGACTCGATGCAGATGTCCTTAGCCAGCTTCTTTCACAATTTATGCAGGAGACAATTACTTTTTTTCTGCTTCTAGAAATGTGTTATAAAATTAAGGTCATTCCAAATTAAGGACAGGGGGTTGCCTTTTTTTTTTTTTTTTAACTTTTGTCCCTTTCCCTGGTTAGGGCTCTGTTTCCTGTGAGCTCTGGTCCCTTCATGGGGAAGTAATTTGTGTTTTCCACTGCTCCTGTGTAGTCTGACTGATTCTGCATGACCTGCCTAGGGGTGTCACGTCCTATTAGAGGAGTGGAGACCAAACTACAGTATCTTGGATACGGAAAATTTTCCTAACGTGACTTTGTCGCTTTCCACAAGTGGAATCACAAATTTTTGAGGGAAATACAAAGCAGCTGGAGGTGGAGTGGGAAGGGAGGATGTGACCTTTCATACTGATGTGGATTGCTGATGGTTCAGGAAACAAAATGATCTCTTTGTAACATAAATACAATATACAGTATGAGTACAATATGAATATACAATACAATGTGAATAAAGCCAATATCCCAGGTTACAGCACACACACCTTGTTTGAAGGCTGGTGGTGCTGAGCAACCTCGAGCTTCACTCTCCCCATCAGCAAAGCAAAATACAGGCTGAGGAGCAATAGCAGAGTGTGTCCTGGGCAAAGTGCTGCTGAGAGGACTGGCCAGAGCTTCCTTCCCTCAGCACCTGCCATCAGGAGAACTCCAGAGCCAGGCAGGGAATCTGAGCTTCCCAGTTCCCGTGGAGTGGCCAGTGGCTCTGTCTGCCACCAGCATCTGGGGCAGCTGGTTCACTCTGTCCTGCCTTGGGTATAAACTGAGCAGTGCAGCACAGCTGGGCAGGTTCTTACTTCACTTCCCTTATCTCTTTTTGTCTCTCCCCCTCCTTTGCAGTACGTGGTGATCCCCACACGCCGGGCGACCGCAGTGGCCTTGCAGAGCTTCACTTCACACCTCCTGGGAGATGCTGGCAGTCCTTATCTCATTGGATTTGTAAGTGCTCACAGCAGGCTCTGGCAGGGCTGCCTGCCCCGGTTTGCTTCTGTTTACTAACTGCTCCTCTCAAGTGCCAGGTTAGACCCTGCTGGGAAGGGCTGTGCCTGTGAGCAGAATGGGAAGTGGTGCAGAGCAGTGCAGCTGTTTCACGTGCTGCAGCTCCAACCTGGGAGGGGAGAAACAGGCTTCTACATCTTTTTAGCCTCAGGCATTTATAAAGCTTATAGACAGCTCTGTAAAGAGAGAGTGTTGCTTCTGTGGTGTGGACAAGAGGTTGGGTGAGAGTCGTGTGTGTGTGTAACTGTTAATCTGATCCCCTAAATCAAATAGCTGCTTATGGGCAGCAACATGCAGCTGTCCTGCCCTGCTGATATTTTGTACCTGGTTTGTATGATGATAAATCACAGAATTACAGAATATCCTGAGGTGGAAGGGACCACAGGGATCATTAATATCCACAGGACACCCCCAGCAATCCCACCCTGTCCCCGAGAGCGTTGTCCAAACATTCCTTGAGCTCTGGAAGGTTTGGGGCTGTGCCCACTGCCCTGGGGAGCCTGTTCAGTGCCCAACCACCCTCTGGGGGAAGAACTTTTTCCTGAGATCCAACCTGAACCTCCCAGTGATGGTGTAAAATCCATGGCAGGAGGGATGTGTGTGTTTTGGGGGTTTTATTAGTGTTCCTTCTGGGGTGTTCCCTTCTGTGACTGTTGCAGTGATTGGCCTTGGTCTGTCTGGGAATCTCCCTTCCTATGCCACCATTATCCTGGTGCAGAGTGCAACAAAAGACCCAGCTCCAAAATCTGGCATCACAGTTGAAAATGTAAGGCCTGGGAAATGTAATGAGGGGGAAAAAAAATCTAGATATACCAGGGAAATTTCTTTTCCCTTCTGCAGAGTTTGATGCATTGAGAATGAGAGATCACAGATCATCATTCATAAAATGCAGCAGCTTCCACACAAATCCCAGAGTGATGCTCAGGGTGTTTTGAAGGTGCCACTGTTTTCCAGTGATGTAACTGGGATCTTCACTGGTCCCATCACCTGAGAGACAGGGCTTTGGTGTGCTCCTCCAGCTCAGGACTGTGTGACACAGCTGCTGGGTGCTGTGGGGCTTTTTTAGTTTTTAAAACCATCATTTCTCATCGATTCATCCTGTTGACACTGGTGTATGCACCTATACAAACGTATTTTTATATATATATTTAATTTTGTGAGTACATCTATTTAAATATACATAAATATTTACTCTGGAATGGCAGCTCCCCACAATGCTGTAGCTGCTGTGTAGCCCTCTGGAACACACGTGAAAAGGCAGATAGAGATAAGGCTGAAAAGACCAAAGAAATGAGAAATGTCTCAAGAGAATAAAAATGCACAATTTAGCTTACTCTTTATTTACTTCGGTGTTCTGGGTACCCAGGGAGAAGGGATCTTATTTTAGAAATTATTTGAAGGTGGCAAGAACAAAGGAATTGCTGGAAGAGTGGGGAATGTGGAGGAGGAGGATGAAACAAGCAGGGCAGGGAGCTTTGAAGGCTGGGGATGAGGGCAGGGCTGGGCCAGGCCAGGCTGCCTCAGGTGACTCTGCTACATGTTCATCCTTTTTCTTACGTAAAAGGGATGTCCAGGAGGAATACCGAGGACCCTGAATGATTGCAATTAATCTTGAAAGTTGCCTGAGGCTCTTTAGTGTCATAGATTAAAAAAAAAAGGTCTTTGGTTGTAGAAATAATGTGCCTTGCCCTTCTGGTATTCAAAGATCAAGCAAGTTGTGTTACTTAAGGATGCCTGGCTGACACATGCACAACCCCAATTTAATGGCTGCCTTAGGCTTTCTTTAGGCTGGGAAAATATTAATTATTATTTTGAATTATCCTTTTTTAATGCTGTAATCGTTGGGCAGTTGTGATTTGGGAGGAGACTCCTCAAGCACAAGGCTCTGGGGCAGGAGAGCAGGAGTGAAGCACTATGTCATGGAAGGATCCAGCATCCTTTTGTGTGGCCTCTGCACTGGCTGCACTCATCCTCCCTCTGCTACAAGGACTGAAAGGTCCACTGCAGCTTCCACATAGCCCAGGGAAACAAATACTATTAAAGTGAAAGGACAAACAGCCAACTTCTCCAGCAGAGCTAAGGCCAGGAATCAACTGGAGTGTTAAAACCCACTGGAATTGTCCAGCTGCAGTGCAGGATGGAGACCATCCTGAGGGGTTGAAACCTCACCTGGGCAGGTTACGGAAGGGGCTTGGGTTCTGACCAGGATTTTCAAGGCAGTCTGTGAGGGCTGAGCAACCTACTGCTGTAGGCTTTAAAGGAAATTTGGGAACCCAGTCCCATAGTCCCAGGAATCCCCAACCTGAAGGCATCAATTCCCACTGCTGTGAATGCAGTTATCAGGGGCAGGCCCAGAACAGGGGTGAGGTTTTGAAGGGGAGCTGCAGAAGGCCCTGGAGGTGTTCAGGGACAGACTGGACGTGGCACTCAGTGCCATGCTCTGGTTGACATGGTGGTGTCTGGCCATAGGTTGGACTCGATGACCTTGGAGGTCTTTCCCAACCCAAATCATTGTGTGATTCTGTGAATTGCACTGACAGGCAGGCCCAGAATGGGTGAAACTCAGCCTCCTGATCACTTGGGTTCACCTGAGATCCTGGAGCTCTGCTGTGTCTTCTGACTGCTCATAGAATCCATCTGAAGCTCCCTCGCTGAATGATCGGGGTTTTGATCTAATATGGGTGGGATCTTACATGGTTTTGGTGAGTTCATAGTGAGGTTCCCTCTAAGAGTGCTCTTAATAAAGAACCAGATGCCCGTGGCCTCGCAGGACTGAGCTGTGGCAGGCAGTGGTCTCTGCTGGATGCCAATAAACGTTGTACTGACCTTAAAATCCTCATGTGGAGCACAGAAGGTGCTGATCAGCTGCAGCCTCAGGGGTGTGATTGCTGCCATACTCTGGGGTGTGCCCAGAGAGCTCAAGGTCAGACTCAGACTTTCTGTAACTTCCCCCATTCCACATCTCACACTGCAGCTCCTTACAACCACCCAAAGCCCCAAATACCCACTGGTGATTAAAAGCTAAGAGGCAGGGAGCACACATGTGTGGCTATTTTTCTTGTCTCTTTAAATATTGATAACTTTTATTATGGTAAAAAGGCTTAAGAGTGACTTACAAAAAAGGAGTTATGCAAATGCAGCTTTGGGGTGGCAGCTGTGATTTGCATAAGGCTTTGCTACCTGCCAAGCACTGAGATCAGTTACTGTAAATCAGCACTGCCTGTTCATTCACAAATAAGAATAAGCATTGCTGTGCTATTTCATTAGAGGAGACAGCTTTTATTCCTAGAGAACTGTAACTTTTTTTCAGGACCTTTGTGATAACCAACCTGCAGAGTTTAAATAGTTTCTGTTTAACAGCTCAGAGTTGTCACTCCGTGCTTTATTCCTGAGGCAGTCAGTGAGAACTCTCACCTGCTCAGGGCATTACACCCAAACATCTCTAGTACTTTTCTGTCTTTGGCAGCTCCCACTATGCACAGAAGAGTTAAGGGAAATGCCCCAAATCCCACCACTCACGTCGAGTGTCAGATAAAGGTCTTCAACTGCTCTCTCTGCGCCCTGGACAGGGGGAAGAGCCGAGTGGAGGGAGGCAGCAGCACACATGAAATAGTTCCCTCTTCTCAGGCTGCATCTCAGCTCCAGCTCCTTGTGTTACTAATTCTGGTTAGATCTTTGGTGCCCTTTAAAATTAGACAACTGTAAGACATGCCAGTGAGTCCCTGCTCCTGTGTCCACCCCTGCACATGGATGAACCTGTCGTCCCTACTGAGGGTTTGCATTATCCTTCATGCTGCTGCTCCACTCCCTGACACTCTCTTTTCCTTCAGGAACACCGAGTACAGGTAGAGTTTGTTTTTTATTTCAAGGCTGTGGCCTGGGGCTTTTTTTTTTTCCTTCCTCCAAATTCATCATTTGCTTCCTACCTGAGCACAGCAGTGCTTTCCTCTTCCACCCTTGCCTTGCCTGTGGCTGTGATGAGAAATGGGCACCTGCTGCAGGCACTGCTCTGTCTACATGTGCCAGGGCAGTTGCTGTGTGGGCACACAGTGTCCTCACTGCCCTGGTGCTCTTGGCTCTCCTGCCTGCTTAAATTCTCTCTCATCTTCTCTGTGCAACCATCCATCAGGTCTAGGGATAGGAACTTATCTGTATCCACCTGTCACCTGGCAACATCAGCCTGTGAGGAGGGTGTTTTAAAGTGCCAGAGATCAACTCTCCTCCACCTTTTGATGGGCTAAAAGCTGCTCCCTGGGCTCCAGGGATGGTGCTTCCCACCTGTCCTGACCTCTTTGGCTCCTGCTGTTTCAGTTTTACTGGAGGGACACCACGTCCAGCCACTCCAGGATGGAATTCCAGTCTGGCAGCTGGGCTGTGGGAGCCTTTCACCCTTCACTTTTCTCCCTTCCCCAACTCTCCTATGTGAGCAGGCTGATAAACTAGATCTAATGAGCTACTTAAGCAGCAAGAATGCTAATGACCTTCCTTTAGCAAGTAGTTAGTAGAGCAGTGTTAATTATCCCTGGTGCAGAGTATCAGGGCAGGGAGATCAGCTTCTCATTAGGGGCAACCAAGGAAAACTGTGGTAAATGCAGCAATTAAGACACTTTTTAATGAAAGTTATAAGTGGAGGTGCAGATTTTACAGCACCTTGTCCCAGTTTGAGACAGCCCTTTTGGTGATTTGGTTTGCAGGTGTTTACCCAACCAGGTACAGAAAGTAGTTCTATGTGTAAAGGCTTCCCTGCCTGAGGAAGCAGAATTCACTTTTTATGGTTTAAAATTTGTATTTTATGCTTTAAAATGCTATGGCTGCTTCAGAGTAGGACATGCTTACTCTGGGAGAACGTTTTTTTTTTTCCAGTTTAGTTTGGTAGATTAAAACAGGCCACAGCCCACTGGGACTCAGATCCACTGCTGTCTGACTTACAAGCAGGGCAG